GTATTGAATATTATCTTATTTGATTCTGTCCAATGCTTTGGCCTGTCAAGCTTTTTTTTTTTTTGCTTTTTTGGTGAGGCAATCAGGGTTAAGTGACTTGCCCAGGGTCACACAGCTAGTACATGTCAAGTGTCTAAGGCCAGATTTAACTCGGGTCCTCTTGACTCCAGGGCTGATGCTCTATCCACTGTGCCACCTGGCTGCCCCAATAATATTTCACTTTTTTTTGGGGGGGGGGTGTGAGTTAATCGGGGTTAAGTGATTTCCCCAGGGTCACATAGCTAGTAAGTGTCAAATGTCTGAGGCTAGATTTGAACTCAGGTCCTCCTGACTCCAAGGCCAGAGCTCTATCTACTGTGCCACCTAGCTGCCCCTTAAGCTCTTTTTTGATCCTGACTCTGTCATCCCCTTGAGTTAGTGATCCCTCCCAGGTTGATGTTATCTGTAGATATCAGGAGGATGTCCTGCCTTCATCCAAGTCACTGATGTGATGTCAAACAGCCCACAGTCAGGTACAGATCCCTGGGGCATGCCACTAGAGACCTGAGAAGTGATGTATCAGTGGCCACTCTCTGGGTCCAGGCAATCTACCTATTGTGAATCCAATTCACTGGATTTTGGTCTGGTCTACATCTCTCCAACTTTTCACAAGAATGTTTTATTAAACATTAAATATTAAATTTAATTTAATTAAAACAAATTAAAATTAAATATTAAATAAAACAGGCTCTTTTAATTCAATGCTTTGCTAAAATCTAGGTAAGATGCACCTGCAGCATTCCCTTGACCTAGCAGCTGAGTAAACCTGTCCAGAGCAGGAAATGAGGCGAATCTGGCCTGTTCTTGCTCTTGACCTGACCCTTTGAAACCAGCCCTTCCTCTTGAGATGTTCACTACACATCTTTTCAAAGATCCAGTCTAGAACTTTGGACAGGATTTGAGTCAAGCTTGTTGGAGCACAGTTTACAGACTCCAGTCTCCACTTTTTTTCAGAAAATTGGCACAACTCTCCTCTTCCGGTCCTGTGCGCCCACTTCCATCGTACCAATAGAGGTTCAGTAATCACGGCCTTCAGTGCCCAAGGATGTTGCTCATCTGGGCCAAGTGCTCTGACTTCCTCAAGGGCCGCCAGGGGCTCTCTCCTATCCCCTTATTTATCTTGTGGATCAACCATTACCCTTCTGTTCTGTCACTTCCGGGGCAAAGGTCATTGTCCTTGGCCCAGAAAACAGAAACAAGGAAAGCCTGAACAGCTTGGCCTCCTCTCCATTGTCCGTTGTCATGGGCCCCTCTCCCTTAAGTGAAAGTCTTGTCCCTCCCTTGACCTTCTTCTTTCCTGCAAAAGAGCTAAAAAAAAAAAGCCTTCACCTCTAACCCTTCTTGTTTACCTTAATTTCCTTCACCCGCCTTGGATCAGCTTTAACATTATTGCTACTATCTTTACAGGACTAAATCACACACTCATAGTTATCCCGTTGCCTCTCCTTGCTTTTATGTTTTCTCCTGCTGGATTAAAAAAAATCTTATTAAACACTTACTAAATAAACTTATTTTTAAAATAAGTTTTTACTGACATCTTTTGTTTTTTACATCATAGCTTCCCTCAATTTCCCTCCCTCTCTTACTCCCAGAGAACCATCCCATATAGCAAATCCTATTTTTTTTTTTGGCTAGGCAATGGGGTTAAGTGACTTGCCCAGGGTCACACAGCTAGTTAAGTGTTATGTGTCTGAGGCTGGATTTGAACTCAGGTCCTCCTGACTCCAGGGTCGGTGCTCTATCCACTGCGCCACCTAGCTGCCCCTTAAATAGTATTTTTTAAGACAAGAAAAAAGAAAAAGAGCAGAAAATCAACATAACCTATAAATACATCGGAAGAGTCCCAAGACACATGCAACATTCACTTTGTGTGTGCCTGTGTTTGCTCTTTTCATTCACATCGCTGGGGTCACTGGGTGGATGGTTTCTCGGGTTCATTGGCTTTGCTCTGCATCAGTTCATACCAATCTTTTCAGGCTTCTCTACATTCATCACGCAAGTCACTTGTTAGAGCGCAGGAACATTCCGCTACAGCGACGTACTACAGTTGATTCACTTCCCCCACTGGCAGGCATCTTCTCTGGTTCCGATTCTTGGCTACCACAAAAGTGCTGCTAATAAACATTTTGGTGTATATGGGGACTTTCTTCTTATCAATAGCTTCCTTGGGATATAAGCCCAGTAACAGGATTTCTGGGTCAAAAGACATGGACATTTTAGTTACTTTTTTTGCAAATTGCTTTCCAAAATGATGATATCATTTCACAGCTCCACCAACAATGCATAGGTGTGCCTATCTTTCTACAATCTCTTCTACCTAGACAGACTGTCACCATTCTTTGTCATCTTTCCCAATTTGCAGGCTGAGAGGTGGGACCTCAGGGTCATTCTCATTTGCATTTCTCTAGCTTTTAAATTAGTTGGGAAATTGCCTGTGTATCCACGTTAGTCTCCAGACAACTCTTGTTTTTTCTCTTCCTTGGAATGGTTTCCCTTTGTATTTTTGGAATTTCATTCTTGAGACTTTCCTGTCTCTCCAGAGTTGATGTCCTTGGCAGAACTGTAGCCCATTAGATCCCGTCTATTCTTCTGATGCCTTTGCACTCTGCATTTAGCTTCCTTCTCCTCGAACACAAATTCTAGGAGGATGTGGTCCCCCTCTCCCCCATAAAACTGAGTATTGGCTATTTGTTTCCTCGCTGCATCACACTGGGCAAGCCAGTTGTCCCCTTTCTTAGCTTCCTTTTCCTCGTCTGTTAAATAAGGCTGGTCCAGACGAGAGGTTCCTAAACTAGACAACACTTCTGTGCTTGAAACCTCCTCTAGTCGGAGGTTGGGGTGAAGGGCTCAGGGTCAGAAAAAATTTGGAGAAGAAACAAAATGTCACAGTTCACATGTACTTACTACATAGTTTCCTTTTCAAAATTTTAAATGAAAAATATCCCCAGCAAGAAAATGGTCTCTCATAATTCCTACTCCCCATGCACGGAACACCAGAGCTCCAGGGGGCTATTTGCCTTGCTTCATTTAATTAAAAACACAAACACTAACCCCAGTTTTCTGGACACCTTCGTTTTTTACAGCACGGTTTTCTGGATGCTGTCCCTAAGACATGGAACTGAACTTTCTATTGTGACAAAGAGGAGCAAGTAAGCCTGACAAATGGAGACACAGAGACTCCACCTGAGAGTAAACACCATATTCTGCACCTGCAGGCCTCTACCTTTCTGAGAGGAGAGAGGACTGTTTGACTGGTCTCCTCCCTGGGAGCAGAGTGGGCATCACCCTTGTCTGGCATCCAGTTTGTTTTTTTCGGTGGCCTCAGAGGTTCTGAACCTCTTTTGTGGTACAGACTCAGCCAGCAGGTGGGCTGGCGAAGCCCAGGAACCCCTTTTCAGAATCTCGTTTCTAACCATGTACAACACAGATGACTACAATAGAAACCAATTATGATGAAGCATAACTGTCAGAACATTTTTATAAAAATGCAAATTCAGGGACCCCAGGTTAAGAATCCCTGGTTAACAGTGTCATGGCCATTGTGTAGACTGGAAAAGGTCATCATACACTGGAAGGATCTCTAAGGATCTTTTCTATTCTAGGATTGTGGGATTTGAGTCAATTCACCAAGCGGTTAGTAAGGACTTACTGTGGTGTAAGGCCAGGGATGAGGAACCTGCAGCCTCGAGGCCACATGTGTCCCTCTAGGTCCTCAAGCGTGACCATTTGGCTGAATCCAAACTTCACAGAACAAATCCCCTTCATGAAAGGATTTGTTCCGTAAAACTTGGACTCAGTCACAAGGCTACAGGCTCCCTACCCCTGCTCTAGGCACTAGGAACAGAGGCAAAAATGATAAAGGGACTACCACGAAGAAAGGCCTGCAAAGCACTTGACAGACTATTGCGTTTTATCCTTAGAACAACTCTGAGAGTTAAGGGCTATTGTTTTTCCATTTGACAGATGAAGAAACTGAGGCAATAGGACTTGTCCAGGGCACACAATGGGAAGTTCCTGCGGCAGGACCCACACTGAGGTCTTCCTGACTCTAAAGTCCAGCTCTCTAGCCATGACACCAAGTGCTTAACACTGGACAAAAATGAAGGAGGGGCTCACATTCTATTACACCTAGAAGCAGATATCATTATTATTTTGCTGTTTGTGCCTCTGATGTCACCGGCAGAGGGAACTCTTGCTGAGGAAGCACCTTATTGCAAGGCCAAGTAACCAGTGCTCTTCAAATGCCTGCCTTGGAGAGTTGCCTCAGATGCCGAGAGGACACGTGACTTGCCTAGGGTCACACAGCCAGAGTGTGCCAGAGGCAGGAGGGAGCCTAGGCTGGCTACCACAACCATGTTGCCCTTCAGTTGCACACAGAGTAACTTGGGCCAAGGTGGGGGGATGAAGGAAGGCTTCGCGGAGGAGGTGGCACTGAGGCTGAGCTCGAGATGCTTAGAAGGTGTGTGGCTTTGGGGAGGGGAGGGTAATTGGTTTGGACAGGCTGAGTTAGCAACGTTGGAGCTCAGCGGGCAGACAGACACTGATGTAGTACAGACAGCCAATTAGCCCTGGACACATAGATTTCAGAATCAGCTTCATAGACATGATGAGTGAATTCACGGGAGAGAATGAGGTCATTGTGGGAGAGAGTCCACAGACAGCATCTAGGGCAGAGCCTTAGGGGTCAAGAGAACTTGGAGGATGAGAGGAGGCTGAGGACGAAGCTGTGGATGAATCCTTGTTGAACTGAACTGACCCGAAGGAGCTCAAGGAGGCTTGTTCAGCACTGGAGGAGACTAGAAGGGAGAGGCCTGCTGAGGACGGGGCGGCCCCAGCGAGAGCCAAAGCCTAGAACAGGCACTCAAACATTGGAAGGCCGGGGTACCCGCCACCCCCCCAGATGGCCCCTGTCCCTCGCTGTCCTGGCGCAGTCAAGCTGAATCACACTTCAAAGAACTTACCGCTAAGGATCTCCTTGTTGTCGCCCCAGAAATCGGCTAGTTTGCACGGTCTATGGTAGAATTCGTCTCTATTCGCTGCGAGGATGAGTCTGGAAAAAACACACAGAAAGAGAAGTGGAAAGAACCTCTGCTTTGACCACCCTGACACAAGCCTTCGCTCCTGTTAAGCTGGCGATCGTCTTGGGAAGCGGCTGATTCTTGGAGTGTGCGCCTTTACAGGATCAAAGGACCTGTCCAGTTCAAGTCTCTCGTTTGTTGGGGGAAGGGAAGCAAGGGGCACTGGCACTGGGCTGAGCGTCTTACAAACCTCATTTCAATTGATCTCTACAATACCCCTGGGAGGCAGGTGCTACTGTGATCCCCACTATACAGCTAAGGAAGTTGAGGCAGACAGAGGTGAAGTGACTTGCCCAAGGGTCACACAGCTAGCATGTATCTGGGAGGCTGGATTTGAATCCACGTCTTCCTGACTCCAGGTCCAGCACGCTTTACTGTGGTGCCACCTAGTGGCAACAGCTGGGAAGTGCCTGAAATGAGCATCAAACCCAACTCTTCCTGACTCCAGGGCTAGCACTGTATTCATCATGCCACATGAACCCCTTACCAAGCTAATACAGCATTAAATATATGCACATACACATATCTTCCTGCCATTACTTTCCTATACGCTATGGCCATATATCGAGAGCATTCAGGAAAGCCCCTCCCACCCCAGGCATGGAAGACTATTGGGGCACCAACAGAAGATGGGAGATATGGAGGTGCCCGTCGACCCATGGAGAAAATGGCCACCCACAGAGCAGAGCAACTGAGTATGGCGGGGAGGGAAGGGTCAACAAGGCAGAGAAGGGTCAACATGGCAGGGAGGGAAGGATCAACATGGGTCAACATGGCAGGGAAGGATCAACATGGCAGGCAGGGAAGGATCAACAAGGCAGAGAAGGGTCAACATGGCAGGGAAGGAAGGACCAACATGGCAGGATGTCATGGAAGCCACATGGTCTGGAGGTTCCAGGAGCTGTGAGGGCTGCCTGGAGGAGGGTCCACCAATGGAGACAGCAAGCTTTCACAAGTGATATCCTACAAATGGTGACCCTGTTACAATCACTGACTTCAAAGGGCAGAGAACACAAAATCCTACCATGCTTATTTTTTTGGTGACTACACAAACACATTCGATTTGGTAGAACCAAATGCCACCTTCAAGGCTCTCTCCACGAAGGTACTTCCCATTCATAGGTTAAAATTATATAGGATTCACTGAAAGATGTAACAGAGAGATAACTTTGATGACCCTCTGAGGGTTAGGGTAAAGTTAGGCAAAAAACAAGACAAGCTCATCAAAGGCATTTGCTGCTGTTACAGAGGAAGGCTGGTGCTAAGGACAAATGCAGGAGGGATTCCCCCTAGTGGCAGTCCTCCTGCTGTTCCTGTTTTCAGATGACATCATGCTGACTGTATCTGGCCCCGAACACTGCAAATGTGATACTTGAGCTAAAAAGAATTCAATTTGCCTGTCCCATGTAGAAAGGATGCCCATGACCTTAACATACAGATGAATAGACAAGTCAGAGAGCTGGTATATCCTGGATGGGCACTAGAGATGGACAAGAACCCAGTGTGGAATGGAGCCTGAGGAGAGGGCCAGGCTGGATGGCACTTGGGAAGGTGCCCCACAAAGACCCAGTTTCTTGGTATTCTATTCTTCTAATGATGGCATCTGGCTATAAGTCACAGGACAAAGAATTCAGGGAGCAGGTCCTCCAAATGCCACAGACAGGGGCAGGCATATTGCCAAAGACAGGTGTATTTCTTTTAATGGGCTACTGAGGTACACACAAGCAAAATTAAAATTCAAGGCAGGAGCAGTGGTGTTGAAGTCTAATGAAGCCAGGGGCCTGTTCTTGGGAAAAGAAGAGGGCTAGTAAGGGAGTGAGAGGCAGTCAGCCCAGTGGGGTTGGCTTCCTGCAGATTTTCAGGGGGTCATGACCAAGAAGTGATTTTGAGGATCCCCTGGGGTTTAAGAATTTCAGTTGAAAGAGAACAGAATAGCTTCTCCTTTACCTTGTGGATACTCTAATAGGCCAGGCCATTACCCCAGTGACCATTCAGTGGTTGCTAAAGTCCTAAAAACAGGTTGCAAACCTGCAGATCTTCGATCACTCAGTATTTATTAGGTGCCTACCATATGCCAGGCAAAGGGGATAAAAATCAAAAGCGAGAACATCTGTCCTCACAGAACCTCTATTTTATTGGTGGTCCAGAAAAGTCAATGGAGGATACATCTAAAACAATACACAGTGAATGGGGAAGAGGGCACTAACCAAGAGGAGGAATCCAGAAAGACTTCCTGAAAGAGGGGGCACTTGAGAGGGGCTGGAGCTTCCAAAAGGAAGTCCTGAGGAGGGACACTATTCTGGGCACATGACACAAGACAGCGCAGAGCCGAGGTGAAATTGAAAATGTCTGCTTGGCAGGAAACAGCAGCAGGCCCTTTTGGCTACAGGGTAGAGGACATGATGGGGAGCAATGCATCACCAATCGGCCAGGAAAGACACAGGCCGGTGCCACGCTGGGAGAGCTGTAAATGGCAGCCGGAGGAGCTTGTGTCTAATCACTGGGGCGTTGGGGAGCCACTGACACTTCTTGGGCACAGGAGCGGCCCCTGAGTTTTGGGAAAATCAATCTGGTTGTGGTGGGAAGGACGGACTGCCAGGTGAGAAATGAGGAGGACCCAACAGTGGTGGCTGGGGTACCAGTGGAGAGGAGGGGAGTTTTACATTCAGTGCAGTCAGGGCTTTCTTTTTCAAATGCTTCAAGTGCTCTGATTCAGTAATTCCTCCAACAGCTAATGCATGTTGCTTTATGTGTAACCTAAGGAAATGAGGAAAAATCGCCACAACCTGAAATAATCTGATTTATGACAGAAGGGCAGCCATCCCATTTGGATTCCCTGCCAGTCACCGAGCAGGAAGAGCTGATGGCGTAGTGGATCTTGGCTCTGTCTCTTTCCGCCTTTGGAGAATCAGTCAAGACTGTTAGAACCTATGCCTGCAGTGGGGTAAGGGGAGGTTGCTACCCTTCTCCCAACACCCACAGAAATGGTGACTGCTCCCATTTGGGGCCCCTGGCTGCCTTTTCTATTTTCAGTTGGATCCCTTCCTGAAATTCAACGTCCGGCCTTGGAGAAAACCTCATGAGTTGGAGGTGTGTGGGTCCTCTGGTGGAGCTGATTGACCGGTGGCAGCACCAGAGATGACCACTGACCAGATGATGACTGAAAGCCCTGGTCCTGGTTGGCCAGGAGGTATGGAGCTGCAGGGAGTTGTTTGATCAATGCAGAGCTGAGGTGAAATATAGAGTCTCTATGCAACTCTCTGGATAAATGCTTTACAGTTTGACAGTTTTAGTCTCAGCCCTCCTGGAAGAATCTAACAGTAGTAATGTTATCGTATCACATGTGAGAACCTTGGTACTTAGCATTTATTTTATGAGTGAGCTGTTCCATATCCGATTTATGTTGCATGTGAATGAATATGGAATGCCTTTCTACCCTCCCTCTTTGAGAAGACCCTAGCCAGGAGGCAAACCTAAAGCTTCAAATACTTCCCCCCAGGGGCTGCACAGAGAAGAGAGTAAGGAGCCAAAGCTGTGAGACAAAGAGTTTGTCTCTGAGATAGATGACCAGACTCCCCCGCAATTAAACCCAGGCAGACAGTTCATCTCAATCCTCAGCTGAGAGGGACCACCTGGGGAGGATGAGAAGGGAAAGGGACTCGCTGGGTGACGATAAGAGGGGGAAAGGCAGTAAAGAAAAAAAGGTGGGAATTGATAAAATGAAGTCGTGTCATGATAAATTCAGTGTCTGTGTAGTGGGCTGGGCATTGCCGAATAATTCAGGAACATTAACTGCTGAGTTATTTTTGAGATAGTTGCAAAAGAATCCAAAAACACAAGTCACAGTCTGGCTGAATGTTTCTAGTTAACCAGCGGTTTTGTTAAAGTAGCAATTCAGAGGTAAGGGAATTAAACACAAAACAAGTCAGTCCAAATGCAGACACTTGTCTAGCTCCCATTTCGGCCAAAGTATCTTTGCAAACCACAAAGTGCAATAATGACTGGGAGAATGCCCAAGAAAGATTTGTGGACACTCGGCGCACACCCAGAAATTAACCGATGGGATGAGGAGAGCACCAGGAGTTTTGGTTGCTGCAATTAATTTTAATTATTTAAATAACTGATCCCCTATAAAGTCATCCCCTGGAAACACAAGAACCACTCCCTCAGCTGGGGACATGACCTTGGGGTAACGTGGCTCAGCACGGCCTCAGCATTACCGTAAAACTCAGCCCTGAAAGAGGTCTGCAGCAATGGGAGAGCATCACCCAGACCAGTGAGGGCAGACGGATGGCTACCAGACGGATGGAGGGATGGAGGGAACATATTAAGCACCTACTACGTGCCAGACATCATCCTGGTGCTAAGACAGAACCAAAAGCGAGGTGGGCTCTTCCCTTGAGGAACGTGTGATTGAATGGTGAGGGAGACACACACCAAGGACAGCCAGGAGGGCGCAGAGGGGGGATGGGCTGGGATTCCACACTGCTCTGCAACCGGCAGAGACGTCCCGGAAGTGCCACGGAGGCCTGGCACGGGAAGGGCCAAAGGCGGACTTTAAAAGCCTAGTGCATTTACAGGGGCACAGCCCAGTTTTCAGGTGGGGGAAGGAATGGAGAGGATGACTAGAGCAGAGACTGAAACAGGGAGAGATCAAGGGAGCACCAGCTGTCCTTGGAGAATTCACACCCACAGGTCTAAAGTCGGAAGGGGCTGTAGAGGCCACCTAGCCTGGCCCTCTCATGTCCCTTTTTACATGCGGGGCACTAAGCAGTGTACTGGGTGCAGTGCTGGACCAGGAGTCGGGAGAAATTGACCTTGGGCATCTCACTAGACCTCTGTTTGACTCAGTTTCCTCATCTGTAAAATGGAGAGAGTAACAGCAGCTGCCTTCCAGGGCTGTTGTGAGGGCCAGACAAGCTAATAATTGTAGAACACTTACTACAGTGCCATGCACATAGTAAGCACTTTA